GCCTCCTCTCCTGCACCCCTCCAGGGCCCAGAGACACGAGGCTTCTCCGCCTCCGACCTCTGCTCCCTGGGGCTCCTCGGGCTCCTGGCTGCATCCTGCTTCCTTCCTCTGATTCCTTATCTCTGCCCAGCTCCACCCTGCTGGGGGGCAGGGAGCCTGGAACCTCCCTTCCTAGGGACCCTGTTACACAGCCAGCCAGAGGCTGGCCTTGAGCAGGCGGGGTGACTGGCACACCTGCCAGGACAGGGTCCCCCGAGGTTCGGGTTTGTACCCCCGGCCCAGAGCCGCAGCCTGCTGCTGCAGCAGTGTAGACTGCCCGGCCAGGGAAGTGTCCGCACAGAGCTTAGGAGCAAATACGCCTCAGGGCGCAGCCGAGGGGGGCAGTGAGGTTCCCGTGTCCAAGAGCCGCACCCTCTCCCCGTGGGCTTCGAAGATGGCCCCTAGCGGACCAAGCGCCTCTGGCCAAGACCGCGAGAAGGCCAGGCGTCCGCGGGGCTGGTAAGCAAGTGGGCGCTCAGATAGGCGTTTGCCGACGCGATGACGGGATTGGTTTCGCCAGAGCTCTTAATCACTGTTTGTGGTCGCAGCTCCTCTTCCTTGCGGGGTTTAGGGTCCAGGAAAGGAGTCCCAAGCAGAAGCAGAGGGTGGAGAGCTTGCCGGCCCGCGCCTCTCTCCTGCGCTGCCCCCCCTCCCCGTCGCCCCTCCCGTGGCTCTCGCTGACCCCCCATTTTTGTTTGTCTTTGTGTAAGTAAAGGCTGGTGCCCACTGGTCTCCTCCCAGCACTTCTCCCTGCCCTGTGCGGACGCTGCCCACCTCCCCTTTGCTGAGCACTGTATAAACGGCCCTGCAGCCCAAGGGCACCGCGGTCTTGCGGACTCGAGTCCGCTGCCCTCACTGTGGACACAACCACTCGCCTTCTCCTCAAACTCTTTCCTTTCATTGGCTGAGGGCAACTGAGACCGGCGTTCGGTAACAGGGACGCCCGGCCTCCTGGGCCAGTCCTGCCAGGCGGCCCGAGCCAGAGGCCAGGCGGACAGGAGGGACAGCCACCGGGCTGACCACAGCCATGACCGGCAGCGGAAATCAGGGCCGGTGCCGCCGCCTCGTCGTCCAGGGC